GTGCGCAAATACTAGAAGAGTCATAAATGTGATGGATCTGGATCCTTCTTGTTAGTGCTGGCCCATGTGTCAAGGGGTAGTGCTCCCAGACTGCACCATGGGATGCTTGGTGGGACCCGAGGAAGCAGAGAGGGATGCAGCACAGGATAAGTGCCAGAAGAGCACTGGAGATTTTTGAGACTGAGTCAGGCAAAGCCGTGGCTGTCCTGAGCTGGCTTTGCTGGGGACCCTGCTGTGCTAGGAGAGCAGCTCCTTTCCTGCTGGCAGCTCTTTGGATCTGCAGACCTGCAGTGGGAAGTATTACTGAGACTGTGCTGAAAAAAGGTCCAGTTACTTTCTGAAATTGCTTTTTGAAGTGACTTTTTGATTTGAGAAGCTTTAGTGCTTCTGTATTTTCTCTTTGAGAGGTGAAGGAGTGTAAGTGCTGGATCATGAGCAGAGCTCATCCATCCAAAGCGCTATCCATCAAAGCAACCTTTACTCCATAGCACACAATGAAAACCCAAGATTCTTCTAATGTTTCCCCCAGTCAGAAGGCACATGTGAAAGCCTCGGGCAAAATGTCCCATCTTCCCTGGTGCTGCAGGTGATGAAAGAAACAAACCAGGTTCAGCTCTTGGTTGTGCTTCTTTTTGGAGTGGTAGCAGACAGCTGCACATCTGAACCCCGGCAAAGTTTGCACACATTTTTCCCCTTTGACATCTGAATGTTTCTGATGTGCCCAGAGACCTGATAGGAGTGACAGCCTTGAAAACATTGGAGGAAATGACTAATTTTTCCTTCAGAGCACAGATTAAATTGTGCTCAATAAAGAAAAGCAAAATAGTGAGTAACTGCTAAGTGAAACCCAGTTCCTCCATTCAGTAAACGAAGAGTTCTTTTGTGGGGGGAAAAAAAGATGTGGACATGGGCGCATCACAAAGACCATACAGTAAATGAGACCAACTGCTAGAAGAGATTTACTTGTATTTTTCCCCAGTATTTTCTCCCCTGTTCCATGCTGTGCTCAGTGTGGGGCAAGCAAGTCTGAGCAGGAAGGGGCTGTGCTGCTGCTCCTTTCAGAACAGTCTCTCCTTTGCCCCTGGCACCAGGAGAGAATCTTGCTAACACTGTACTGGTATATTTGTAGCCCATCTTTAAATTTAGCAGGCAGCTGGTATGTAAGGAATGGGTGCAGGCACACACTGTATCTTTGTGTGTTTTCTTTGTGGGGCAGCAATGTTGGTGACGCACTCAATGAAATTCAGAGATATGGCTCTGAATGCAGTGTGAGAGATGCTGAGCCCAGCAGAACAAGCTCCAAACTTGGAGCCTAGCACAGGGTAGGGGATACAGACTTGGTACCTCCCAGAATGTCATCTGTGTCTACCCCAGAGGAAGAAAATCCTTATATGGTTTAAAGTCAGGAACCACTGTAGGAGAAATTGTGGAGTTCTCGCAGTACAGCAAGATCACCAGGGGAGTTCCTGGGGATCTGTGCAGTTCAGCAGAACTATACTTGACCTGAAATAGGTGGTCAGTTTTGAGCTGACAAAATGTGGTGATAGCCTTCAAATTAGTAAGGAGGATACGTGAAGGAAGGACCTCACAAGACTGAGACAGAGCAAATAAGTGACAAAAAAAGAGACAAATGAAATGCAGTGTGGTTGATGTTAAGTGATGCTCATGAGAAACTGAACAACTCCAAATCCACATATAAAATAATAACCCAGAGATTAGAAGAGGGATCTGAGAGGGCTGGACACTGTATTTCAGGAGCTTAATTTAGAGTTGTAAGGAGTTCCTGAAAAAGTAGGTACTGTCTGGTACTGTTATGGTCAAAAAAGCATATCCAAAACAAGGAGTTATTAATGTATTGGAGAAGGAAGTGAACTGAATGCTTTTGTGTACATTTATCATCTTGAATTTTCTGTACAGTTCTGATCCTTTTGCCTCTAACAGGTTGTGGTAGATCTGGAGAAGATTCAGAAAATGGATAGCAAGGATGATCCAAGGTGTGGTAAGCCTTCTGTACGGGTGAGAAGGTGATAACAGAGAAGAAAATAGGGGTATAAAGGTGGATAAGACATAAGCTTACAAAATCGTGAGGAAAGTAAAGAGGATCAGAACTCAACTAATACAAAAACTGAGACATCAGATGATGGTAATCAATCCAGTTTCAGACCAAAGGAAATGTGAGGTTCCCTGCACTGCAGGTAGCTGACTTGAAGTCTATCACAGGATGTTGTGGGTGCTGAAAGCTCAATAGAGAATGAAGCTCAATGGAGAAAGACTTCCTCATTTGTGTTTAAAAAAAAAAAAAAAAAAAAAAAAAAAAAAAAAAGGCACCAAAAAACCCCCCTTGTAGCACTCTGATTCAGGACAAACCCCAGCTGGTACTATTGAACAGGTGGGACTGTCTTACGGAGAAGAATTGTAGAAGCTAGTCTTATTTCTGCTTTTCCTTAGGTACTTGGTTACAGTGACTGCTTGGAGAGGAGTTCCTGGGCCAGGTAGCAGTGTCTGATCCCAATTCAAGGGGCAGGACTGTAGGCCTATTAGAACTTCTTGTCTCTGTGGAGTATATGGCTGTCTCAATCAAAATGATGAAATGGTTGAAGAATTATACTAAACATTCTAAATTATGTTTTAAATTGCTATTTTGAAATGTTATATTTAGGTCTAAATGTTCCTAATTTTCTTAAAAACATGTATCTGCCCAAAACTCATTTAATGATGAATCAATAACCCTTGTTCCTGTGTTATGTAGGCAGCAAATATGGTGCTTTTACTGCAAATACTGCTCTTGGTTAAACAGCACTTTCCCCTCTGGCCTTTACTAGGATCTGTTTTCCTACGCTTTTCCTTGTACTCTGGATGATGAATGCTCATAGCCCTTGTGTCATTTCCTTGTTTGGCAGTAAGGATGGGGAGGGCTAGTAAAGAAGGGTTTTCTTTCTCTGGTATGTCCTGTTCTTCTGCCAAAGAGATAAATTTTTCTCTGTGCAAAGGAATAACATGAGCCCTTCAGTAAGCACTGTGAAGGGGAACTCTGCAGCCCCTACTCAAGTTCATTTCATTCCAAAGACTCTCAGTATTCCTGATGGTTGTAGTAAGAACAGTCCAACAAGAATTGAGAATACAGATCAGGGTGTTCTTAGAAGACACTAAGAGACTTCACTAAGATTCTGATGGGCATACTGCTCGTTGGGACAACTAGAAATGGTTGAGTGTAATAAGTCAGTTGTTCTGATACATCCTTAAAAGTAGTTGTACTGGAAAGAGTATTTGGAGGTCAGTTAATTCAACTGCCTGCTGAAAGCAGAGTGAACTTAAAGTTAAGTCAGGTTTCACAGGGCCTATTTGTCATTCATCAACTCCCTTGCGCAATTTTTCTTTCCAGGCTCAGCCCTGGCAAATCCCAATGCAATGATCACTGTCTTAGTCTTTGTTGTGAAGAAATCATGAATGTTGCAAGGTTAGATTTTTTTTTTCTTTTTCCTCATGTTTACTCATATTACACAGTTGGCTGTGATTTTGGCAATTCATGCAAAACAGTGGGAGAAAGAAAGGGGCAATTGTACTGCCTGTCTGTGATGTAGGAATCAATGAAGAATAAATGCTGTGATCTGAGTATTTGGGCCTGTCCCCTCTGAGAAATGATTTGGGTAAGACTGATTTCAAGTACTCTGAAGAATCAGGGAAAATTAACAGTCTATCCTGTCCATGAGAGTTATGATTGTTGCTCATCCATTGGGTGAAGTGATGATTCTGATTGCATCCAGATGGATTGACTTGAACAGCTTTTCTTCTTTGCTTTGAAACTGTCTTCCCCAGCAGAAGTAACTTCTGAGACTTCCTGTCTCCATTAGAAGATGCTAAGAACATGAATGGTATGTGACACTTCTTACTAGATTGGAAAGGCCAGATTTTGCCCCCTCTGAATCACCTATTATGCTTGTCTCCCCACTGTGGAGCCTCTGCTGGTGAGCACTTTCTTGCTGTACCCAAACTGCATGCTGAGTGCACTTGCTGATCCTTCCTTGTTGCACCTGAAGAAGCACTTGACATTTACAGTTCAATGCTCCATAAGAGCAGGGGAAAATTGAAAACACTGGGTCTGACTTTCTCTGCCTGATAGTGTCAGAACTACAGGGACTATAAATCTGGAAACCATTTCTGGGAGAGTGAACATGAGCCAGCTCCAGAAGCTTGGTGCTCTGGTCTTCTAATTGTAAACACTAGCATGCTGGCAAGTATATGCCACAGGGTTATAGCTGTGGATCTTGTGTGTCCAGACCTTTGCCCTCTGCTCCTGGCTTTGATAAGCTGTGACTGGGCCAACTGCTCATGGGCTGGCGTCAGTATATGCAAGCTTGCTGCCACCTGTTCCTGAAATGAAAAATTAATATGCTTATGTTCTGACCAAATTATGCTGTACTCTAATTCCTGAAGAAAATGTTGATAAGAGTGCTTTTGAAAAAAAGGTTTTTTAATATCCTTTGCAAATAACTAAAGGAATTCCAATTAGACCTTACATGTCATTTTCATTTCCCTTGTCATTGCTGTCTAATTCTGAAAAATGCTCCCATCTCTACTGCTTTCATGTATCATCTGCTCTTCTTATTTGTCCACTCAGCCATAATCCTGGTGGTGACATGATAGCTATTTCCATGGCAAGAGCATTACAAATTCTAATAATATCTTTCACTGAAGTAGCACTTTTATGCTTGGTAGAGCTGTGAAAAATCAAGTTTGATATACACACTTTCACCATTTTGTATGGTTTTCTAATCTCACATTGTGCAGCTTCTGGTTACCACATTTCACATCACTTTGAGAATAAGCTTGTGACTCTTTTTTTTTCCTTCCTGTTTTTGATTAAAAAAAAAATTCTCATCAGGTTGAAATTTGGATTTATTTAGGTTTTGGATGGGAACCAAGGCTATTCAGCATTTATAAATAAGGAATTGTTCCTATGTGTTAAAATAGGGTTGTTTTTTTTTTTGTTTGTCTAACAGAAAGTAAGATACAGACTCAGCCCTCTGAGTTTCAGCCCATCACCTTTGCATTTCATTACTGCTATCCCATGCATCTTTACTTCAAAAGGGTAAGATATACATTTTTGTTCTGAAGTTTTACATTAAATACTTGTTACATCTACCAATGAAATCAAATAGTTTTGGGGAGATATGTGGCTGGCACCCAACGCAGTGCTGCAGCATTATAGGGTGGTTTGTGAGATGCAGTGCCAGGAGCACAATGCCCCAGCACAGTGGCAGGAAGGACTCGTGTGGGCAGAATGCTAACAACTCACTGTGTAGTTTTCCCAAGACATGAGGGTTAACTTCTGTCAGCACTGAGGACAATGAACAAGAGATCTACTCTGTGGTTTGAGTTCAGCACAGATGCAGAAAGATGGGCACTGCTGATCCAGTGGCACCTTTTTGTATCACTGCAACGCCTAAGATTTCTTCATCTTTGGTAAAGAAAAATGTCTGTGAAATGAAAGACTAATGGAAAAAAACATTGAACCACTTCTCTGGGTGCTGGCTTGGGGCAAAAATGGTATTTCCTTGACTTCTTTAATTAGAGCTTAATTCTGTTTGGTGCCTGAATACATGTTGTTAGAGTTGGCAAATTTGTGCTGTAGCCTCCTACTGAGGCTTTGGTTGTCTGTTCAAATTCTTCTCTGATACTTTTTTCTTATATAATACAGGCCTCAACCTCAGCCAGGTTCCTATTTAATTGTTGATTAGGAAGAATTTCACAGAAGTTAAAGACTGACACTGCAAAACGGTTCAAAAGAGGACTTAGTCCCCTTGCACATTGCTGTATTAATTATAAAATGCCTTCTGGAAAGCTGAGAATATAATCTGAGTCAGTATTATGTCCAGTGTGTAATGCTTCTTAGCTCCACAAACTTTCCAGAGTTGGCTGTGCAATTTATATTTTGTCCCCAGAGAACCTGTGATCACAGTCATGCCCAAGTCAGAAGTACTTATTAAGTTCATACTAAGTCCACTTTTATTAATCTGCATTAAGTATGGATTGCCCTGTCAGATTACATCATTTGAAGAACATCTTTTCCTTTTGGCTGTCCTATATTTTGTAATGTGTAGCTCTGCATATCCCAAAATGGAGCTATTTCACAAATTCTAAGTACGTGCTTCTTTGTAAAGGCACACCCACAAAAAGCATAAATTACCAAAGTGCCATAAATGTAAAGTGCATGGTCTGTGAAATTCTGTGAGAAATCCCAGGAAGACCTTTCCACAGCTCTCACTGGCCTTGGAGCCAGACTGCAAAAACAGAACCAATATAAAACACAGAAAAACAAAGGTTTAATGGAGAATGAGTGACACAGTATGTGAGTGTACAGTACAATGTGCTGTGGCACTATGCTATGTCCTTGGCCGTGTGGAAGAGCATTTTTGTATAGAAAACTGATGCATTTTCAAATCTGTATTGTATTTGGAAAGAACGTGCAGAATCTGTAGCTGTATGAAGAAGCAAAGCAGTTTGATTATGTGTTCTTCAGCAAGATTGTCTCCTTTCAATTTTTTTGTGTAGATGTTAAATGCCTCCAAAAGAACAGACACTACCTCACGAAGACCTTAGTGACTGTGTACTAGAAATTAAGGCTTTAATGGCATTTTTATTTGCCTTTATAAGGTTGGAAATAATTATCTATAATATTGTCCTGGTTTCAGCAGTGACTTTTTTTTTCTTCCTTATGGTTCCTGATATAATGCTATATTTTGGATATGGGAGAAAAGCAATGTCGATAATGCAGCGACATTTTAGTTGTTGCTGAGCAGCACTGCACAGATCCAAAGACGTGTCAACTTCTTCAACTGCCAGTAAAGAGAACTGAGGGGTCACAAAGAGCTAGGAGGGGACAGAACCAGGACAACTGACCTAAAATGGCCAAAGGAATATTACATATCATGTGACCTCATGTGAAAAAATGTAAAAACAAAAAAAAAAGGTGGGGAGTTTGTTGGGCAAGCAGCTGCTGCTTGGGGATTGGCTGAGCATTGGTCAGCAATTGTTTTGTGCACCACTTGTTTTGTGTGTATATGTATTATATCTTTATTGTTATTATTCTCCTTTCATCTTCCTTTCCTGTCTTAGTAAATATTTTTTATCTCAGTCCACAAGCTCTGCTTTGTTAGTTTGTATTTTTTTTTTCTGATTCTCTTCCCACATCCTAGGGGGGTTGGGAAGGATTGGGAGTAAGTGAATGACTATGTGATGGTCAGCTGCTGCTGGATTAAACCACAACAGATGTTCTGTCTGAGATCCTATCATTCATGACTAAATCAATGTACAAATTCAAAAGAGACTAATAGCTAAATGGGGCTTATAACAAAGTGTGTAGTGTGTAACCAATAATGTGACAAGGTTATAAAACCTGCTGGAAAGGAATAATTAAAATTCTGATTTCAAAATCAGTATTCTAGGATTCTTTTTTTTACTTTTTTCTACCTTTTTTGGTGTGGCTAACAAAAGTTGATTCCTGCTAGGAGGTGTGTACTAGTGGCAGCCTGAAAGAATGCACCAGGCACAGAGACTTTGGCTGCTTTTTTGTTGCCATTTCCATTTTTCTTGCTACCGTAAAATATTTTTTAGCAGCTGCCTTTGCATCAAATTGATCAAGAAAAATCACTCTGCTTTCAAAAAAGGATTTTTAACTCTCTTTTATTCATCCTTATTTTACTCAGCGGAAGTAGCATCTATTGTATTTTGTAGCTAGCTGTGCCAAAAGCATCTCTGTGTTTCTAGCTTGGGATCCTTTCTCTACTGTTCAGTGCCAAACCTCACATTTCTAAGGATCTCAATTCTGTTGCCTAAACAACAGCCATCTAATGCCATTTGAGTGCCAGAATGTTTCAAAACCAAGAGAAACTTAAGCTGAAGGTTGAAAAGAAGGCCAGAAGGAGAGTGGTGAGTCCCCCGCAAAATTGCACAAGCTGTGCTGTGAGTGATAACCCCCTGGAACAGGCAAGTGGACAGGTGGATGTGTGAAGTGCATTGTAACCTGCCTGTCATGCATAGAGGCAGTGGACCACATGAGAGGTCTGTTCAGTGCGCCACAAGAAGCTAGCAGTTGTAGTCACTGTTGATGCCAATAAAGGAATGTTCTATGAGGCAGCAGACTGGGGTCCTGTGCTGTCTAAAATATTATCAGGGCCATAAACAGGGCTTAGGAAGCAAGCAAAGAACCCCAGTGCACAGAGGAAGCAAAGGAGCAGAGAGACAGTATTAAAACATGTTGGAAAATGAGGAAGTTCCTGGAACAAGATGGAGCTGTGCAGCCTGTAAGGCTGTGCAATGGCTTGAAGCCAAGCTGTATACCTCTGAAAAGATTGGGAAGGAAAAAAAGGGCGAGTTAAATTGTAATAAACAAGGAAAATTAGATTTGTTGTGGTCTCCCTTGACCAGCAGTGCTGAGCAACAGAGTTCAGGCAAAGCATGCATGTGGTTTTACAGCAGTTCCTTTTGCCTAAAAAGGAAGGGGGCAAAAGAATGGTAGGGCTCAAAGGGCTGACCTAATGGAGTAGCCATCCCAAGACATAGTGGGAGGAGGTTAAGGAGTGGGATATAGTGTTGCCATGCTACCAATCTTGCAGGCATGATAAAACAGGCTATATTGGCTGGGAAGTGCCACTGTATTTGGAGGGTAACATGAATGTAACAGCACAAAAATGCTCCAAGGAAAAAAGATTGCTATGGAATACCAAATAATGAGGTTTTGTAATAGGATCATACCGATGATCTCCTTCTCAGGTTGAAGACCAATGATCATGACATGACCAGGAAATGTTCCATGAAATGAAAGGAACTGCAGTTTTAAGACAGGCAGTAAAGTGTGTACCTGCAACCTCCCTCTATAGACTGGACTGACACAGTGCTAGGGCAAGGTGCAGAGGTAACAAATTTTGACATGTTATGTGGCTGTTTCCTAGAGCAAGCTGTAAGACACTGACCTGTCACTGGTTCCAAGTGTGCGTGGTGCCTGCTTCAAGAGGCATCCGTAAGCTCTGTAACATCTGTCTCTACCTATCCAAATTTTAGTGAGAGCAAGACAAATTAACAGAACATGGATATTAAATTTCAAGAAAGGCAACTCAGTATAAATGAAATATCTTGTAAAAAAAAGGCAGCAACAGAATAAAACAACCTTGAAAGCAGTAAACTAGAAAGTGAGAAAACTGGAGGCTTCTAGAAAAAAAAAGATGTGTTACAAGCTTAGGTAACTTTTTAAGAAAACAAAATGTAAGTCCAGTAAAATTCCTTTATGGAAGAAAAGTCAGGGATATCACAAGAAGAGATTTGGTATTAAAAAATGGAAAAATTGTCCAAATGAGGGGCCCTCATGACCTGCCTACATGGCAGGTCAAATGTAAACAGGCAAGTAGGAAGACAAAAACTCCCCCATACAAATGACTCAAAGGTAGCCTTGGAAAAGATGCCTGAGCTGCTAATAAAGAGTTCTTCAGATGTGTCAGAGGCAGGAAGCTGGACATGGAATTGGTAAGATCACTTGCTAACCAAAGATGAAAAATTCTCTCAGTACTTCTGTGAGCTCCACTGGGCTCCATGAGAGCAATTTATTTTTATTTGCATTGGTCTTCTCTTCTGCTGAGGAGATTCCTATGCCCAACGCCTTTTTCACAGCAGGGAGGATTGAGGAGCCAGATTGGGCTAGACCAGTCAGGTATGTTAATAAGTCCCTGGGACTAGAAAGCATGCAGCTTGGGCTACAGAAGTAACTCCATGGTGAAATTCTGCCTATCCAACCCACTGCTGGACGTGGCCAAGAACAGTAGAATTACTAATGTAATTCCTACCTATAAAATAGGGCAATAAAGGATCCAGGAATGTACAGAGCAATGAGTTTGATTTCCACACCTGGCCAGGCATTGTAAGAAAGAGCAAAGTCACTGAAAGTGAAGATGATAAACACAATTATCTTGGAAAGTCTTCATCTCTGCAACGACATCCTGCCTTGCTCTTCAAATTTTATATCTTTATCAAACGACATGAACTGGGGAATCCAACTGACATATTCATTGTGCTTACCTAGGATTCACCACAGTTCTGCTCCAATAATGCATTTCCTGTGCTTTCATACACAAAGTCTAAATTCTTATTGATGTTTGAAGGAGTTGGACTTTAACCTTGTGGGTTCTTTCTAAGTCAGGTTATTCTGTGAACCTATTCTTTCCTTCTTTGCGTGGCCTTTGCTAGTAGAAAAAATTGAGTCAGAGCGCAACAAAGAACCTGTGTGTTGGTAATATGATGCTGCAGTGTGTCTTCTTTTAGCATCTACTTCGTAATTCAGGTAAATGTTTATTTTTGCTCTCTCCCTTTCTGTGTTTTCTAATGATAGTAGGCGATTTTTTCCCTGAAACTGTACAGCTCATTCCCTCAGGCTGACAAATCACCAATGTAATTTGCCTGCTGCTAGAAGATCGGCAGAGATGTCCCAGCAAAACTGAACTCACTGAATCATTCAGAGCAGGATGTGGTGTTAATGAGAGTTTAATTACCAAGCATTTGTTGAAAACAAAAGATGACAGGTCACAGATGGTTCATCCAGGTTTTAATGTGCTGGTGGATAGTTTTGATACAGAGCTAGTGAAAGCAACTTGGAGGGTAAGTCCTTAACATTTATTTCTAACTAGTATGGAGAGCTGAGGATTTCGTTTTGGAGGGCAATTTATGTAATGGTGATCACAGAATGATACAGCTCACTGTCCTCTGGGAGACAAAACAGTTCTGGTGACAGAAGAGTCAGGCAGAGTCCAGGGGGGTAGAAAATGACAGGTGTGTTTTTTAATTTATAATTTAAAAAAAAAGGAGGGAGAGGGGGGAACTGGAGAATTATTTCTAATCAGTCACTTAGCTTCTGTTCTCTGCAAATGTCTGAAACAAATAGTTAAACAGATTTTTGTGGACAGCCCTGAGGAAACAAGAAAGTTTGTATCATCCATTATGAATTTGTCAAGAACAAACTGTATTAAGTCAATCTAAATTCTTTTTACAAAATGGTAACATATTACAGGTAGGAAAGAATCAGCGGGAGTTGACATTTGACATTATCTCACATACTGTTATAAGTAAGCTAGGGAAAATTTGTCAAAATTGAAGTGTTGTAGTGAACGAGAAAAACTTATTGAGCACCCATCAGGTGATGTCAATTGTTTGTTTGTTTGCACTTCCTTTAAGGCAGAAAGCTTAAATAAAAATGAGGTGCACCTGGGAGGGTAAATGTGAAGAAACAGAATGATTGGAGGGCTAGAAACTATCACCTACATGCTCAGCAGAAAGAAAGAGGTCAGTCTCTCTGAAGCACTTAAAGTATGAGTTTGAATGTGTGGAAGGACTGTAAGGGAGAACAAAATATTTCCATAATTATAGAGGTGGGGGCAGATGGTAGTATGTTTTCTTGTGCTGATAGTGCAGTAGGGATGGCTCAATCAAGATATTAGGAAGATCTGTTTAGGGTAGATTCTAGAATGGCAGTGTTGCTGCAGCTTTGTCATTGGAAGTGTTTGAGATGGGTTGGATAAATCTGTCCTTGAAGAGATGGAGGTACAGGTCCATCCTGCTGTGGGATCCTGCTCAGGTAACTTTGAGGTTACACACTCTTCCTGTCATGAGTTGTTCTAATTTAGTATACTTAAATTTAAAATGTTTTCTGAACTGTTTCTCCTTGTTTTTGTGCTCCATTTTATATTCTCTTTGACATGATACTTTCTTTAAATAGTGGCACTGATGTTTCTCAGCTCATCTGTTTCACCTAAATGCAATGTCTTAATTATTTTTTTCTATTTAATACTTGTATTCCTAGTCTGTGAAGGCAATCTGATATTTGGTGAAGTAATCACTGGGGAGCACAACTACCTTGATGAATAGTTCAGCAAATAGTTGAGGAAAAGGAATAATTTTCAATTAGTTTTCTTAATACCTCTTGGTGTTCTTGGGACTCTAGATGCCATGCAATTGGTTCCTTGCTCCTTCTATTTACTCTTAAATCCTTGTCTCTAAAGCTGGTAAGCTTATTGATGAGGTGTGTCTCAGTTCCTGTACTTGTGTTGTCATGTTTTGTTCCTGCAGGCATGCTGCTGCACTCAGTACAGCCCAGGTTGAGCAGTGGAATGACCCTATCTGAATAAACAGTGACAATGTGAAATTACTCATGTCTGGAATTGTCTCATATATGTTTGTCATAGTTATGTTTGAACAGAAGGAAAGTTAAATGGATAATGGCTGCTGTCTGGCCCCTGGTATATACCAATTATTCTCAAGGAAATATTTTTCCTTTGCTGAGTGGCATATGCCTACCTGCTCTCCCTGCCCTTCTTTTAAGGATCTGACAGAGCAGCCAGTCAATATTTTCATCTTCTGCAGGCAAGTGCTGAGCTTCTCACAAGTCTTCCTATTATGAGATTGTGGTGGAGTGTCTGTAGCTTTTTTTCA